ATTGAGGATATCGCGGTTTAATATGTATATATTTATATTATTTTATATTTATTATTTATACCATATTATATAATATATATATTTATGTTATTTTTATATACATTTTTACGTCGATTTATGTACGATGGCTTCAATGTGCATCAGTGCGCACTAATGCCTCCAATCGAATTAGCTATTACCCATATTTTGTAAAACTGGAGTAAATAAAGTAAATAAAAGCTGAAATAATGAGAGAGAGAAAAATATCAATCACATCATATTCGGCTATCACATGATGGATCCTCATGTTACTTGCAAAAGTCATATTTTGTTTTAAAATAATTAAGATAAAAGTTGATAAGTAAAATCAGATATCTATATTACATAAAACATTGTTTCTATCTATATTTTGGAGTGCAATCTTAATTTTAAGAAACATTATTTTGTTCTTTTAATTAAATTAGATTAAAAAAAAAACTAAACGCGATTTTTTTAGTTTTGTAAAAATGAAACAATTAAATTAAATTTATTTAATTCATTTAATAATTTAATTAATATTTAATTTTTATAATTGAATCACTGCTTAATTTAATAAAACTGAAATGAAGAGAATTTATTTTGTTTTTACCAAATGTGGGTTAGGCTATTGTTGCAACAAGTCTCTTAATCGCACGTTACACCACGTGTCACGAAAATTGCAATTTTCAGAGCAACAGGACAGACAATCACCCGCTTTTCGGATCTCGTGGAAAAACAGAGGAAACCCCGAACTGTCGATCATGTCACGATGTTGTCGTCACGCGCGTATATACATTATGTAACGAGGATAACGCTTTTGTGCAAAGGTCTCGCTCGTTATCCGCTCATGTCACGTGTATTGTCGGAAGGCCGGAGAGGCGCGTTGTAAGAAACTTCGCGAATCTCACGTAGATCGCGCAGCCGCCGGAACACGATCGACAATCCGTCCACTAGCGATAAACATTTAGCGGATTGCGAGAGTTCGATTTTCACGAGATAGCGCAAAGTGTTGAAAAAACGAGTGTAAATTAAAATTCGTGGAAAGTACTAGCTGTCGCGATAATTGCGAAGTCAATATCGCTATTAGAACTAATGCTAATATTTCATTTGTTTAAATTAGTTAATATTTCATTTGTCGTATGACAAATTTTTTAAGTGCACGTTGGCTACGAGATACTTAAAGCGTTTATTAACACTCTAGTCCTCTAAAAACACACATAGGAAACAAATAAAAAGCACCAATAAATACAAGAAAAAGTAATATACAAAAAATAGAACAAAAACCAACAAGAAGCAATAATTACAAAGAGCATGAAAAAATTATATACAGTGACTGCCAAAAGTTTTCGGCCAACGTATAATTTTACGATGATTTTTGTCAATCTATTTTTCAATAGAATTCTTATTGTTTATAATCAACGTAAAAATTCGATATTTTAATGTATAATTAGATCTCTATTTATAAAGATTCTTTACCTAAGCAATACAGTAAAATTATTCATTAGTCGGAAACATTTGGCAGCCACTGTATGAAGAAAATAATATAAAATCAAGAAAAAAATTCTAGAGACTTGAGAACCTCTCTATTCTGCAGCCAAGTAACGCACTTGAACAATTTGTCGCACGACAAATGAAATATTAACCTAAAACGTAAATCTGTTCGCGTTGCTTGCGCTTGGCACTCAAAACCTTCATTTCTTTCTTTTCAACATCTGAACATATATTTAGGTATTTCGTTTTAAGTGCAAACATTCTTGGAGATTTCGAGCAACACGGACAAATCTTCTGTGAGCCTAATACACACAGAAGAATACATACTGCAAGTAATAATTACTTGTTTCAAGTATCTCAAAAATTTGTATATCCTCAAATATCATAAGTTCACCACAAGCATTAAATTTATTCAAAATATATTCTGAATCTTACAATGAATAATAATTTAATACTCCAATCAAGATTATTAAAACAGATTCGATTTTCTTATTATACAAAGTCGTTTCTTCAATTAATTTTATACAATATTTTTCAAAAGAAATTCTTGTTTCGAGTGCAAAACGAGTTTTTCTAAAATTTATAAGTATATTTTAAGATTATCATCAAGAAAATATTCTCTGTCATCGGATAAGCGAGTTGCTTAAAAGGAAGAAAGTAAATTGAGCAATCACTTTTCTTCGCGATAGAATGATATTTTTCTGTGTGTACTTACACACGCGCTCGTCTCGTGTAATTCGGTCTCGCTTCTGCCTGGCCTTTCCCGTCCCCGCCCGCCGAATCGAATCGAATCAAGCCGGCCGCGTGACGCGCATGATTATGTAACGACAAAGTGTGCCTCTGTTACGCGACTATAATACGACTGTACCGGGTGTCGCCGATCAATCTGCTATTGTTCATGCGTTGGCGAGAAGCTCTCCCAACTCACTCGTTTTTCCGGAAATTCTTATCGACCAGACCACCAGAGTGCCAGGAACCTTGGACACGCTCGCGATTATGATCATTCTCAATCCCCCTCCTCCTCCCCCTCGACGATCTAATCTACGATCGCATGAAGAAAGATAGAGAGAGAGAGGGAGAGAGGGAGATGCAATCGGGCCACGCGTCATAAAATTTTCCTTTCTTGTTCCATTTGATGCGACGTACGCGTTATCACGCAGGCCGGTTGCATAATGAGCGGGAAACGAAATCGGAGACCGGTTCGAAATGCCTCGGCAAAGGCCGATAACGGTATCAGTTGGTTCGCTGTTACGTGAGCGCTGACCGCAATCGTAACACGTAGCCACGGCCAAGCGCGCGGTGGTGTCGGGTGGCCCCCGGCATTGTGCACACGCCTTTATGTGTACCAGCTGCGCGCGGGCGCTTAAGCTTAAGTTCGTCGTACCCGGACTATTTTCGGGCGCGATACGCGCGCATCCTATTCAGCGGTTTTTCTCAAACGTACGTTCCGTAAGTAATAATATCCGGTGGATGGTTGCGCTCCCCCCTCCCCCACCAGATTGTCACGCACGGACACAAGTGGTGCCGATTTATATTTAGAATATATTTTATATATCCGCTTCTTTCTTGTCGATTCGGTCGAATTTTCTACATAAATAAGCGAAGAAGGCCATAATCGGTCAAATCCATACAGATTTCCGAGGGATGTCCTAAAGACATCTGGAGAATATTTCCAGGATGTTCTAAGGATATCCCCAGAACGTTCCTCGAATAAAGTGTGCTGGAAACCTTAATGCCTAATATATTTATGCATGAATTTTACAATTTTCAGTTCAAAAGTTTTTACACATCGTCCACTACACGATTCTCATTTCTCGTACCATTCCGTAGGAGCTTTGTGATTCCGTAGAATCGTTTGTGATTGTTCCGTGTGTGGAGTTATTTTCTTCTAGATATAACAATTTTAGACTTCCGTCCCGAGATTTTCCGGCGGTGGCCGACGTGACGACGGCCGGGAAATAATGTAAATAAATTTCCGGGAAGATATATACACGGGTGAGAATACGTCGTGTATGCGTATTGTAAGCGGCTTCCTCGAACGAGCGCGTCAGGAGGAAAAAAATAAGCGCTGGCACCGGGTCAACGGATGACTTAATCGAGATACGGCGTGATATCACGCTAATTATTACTCATCGGGCAATATAGTACGTCGTTAATTATTTCGTATTCTAAACTGCGATACCAATCTCATAAGCGTTGCTCGCAAGATCGCAATAAGTCATTTCCGTCCCGCGGGTGTTACAACAACAATAATTTCCCATTTTTGTGTATTATTGCATATACAGCTTTGAAAAAATATTAAGCACCTCATTAAGCGTTATTTAAAGTTTTAGCCCAAAAATTGATTTATTTGCTGTAAATTATCTTTGTTTCAAGAACTCTTCAAATTTATCTATAATTTTAATTAAGACTGCATATATTTTCTATATATTATTATATAATTATCTAAATCGAAAATTCTAAAATTCACGCAAAAATATTAAGCATCAAGATCTGCTTTGACCTTCTTCATATTTGTGTTTATAATTATTACATATATTTGTTACGACAAATATAGGTACGCATAATAATTGCATGATCGCACCGGGAGAATTTTTAATAAAGCATTATTTAAAGTTTTAGCCCAAAAATTGATTTATGACATTTGCTGTAAATTATCCTTTGTTTCAAAAACTCTTCAAATTTGTGTATAATTTAAGTTAAGGCTGCATATATTTTCCATACATATGTATTTTACATTATAATTATTTAAATCGGAAATTTTTAAATTCACGCAAAAATATTAAGCACCAAGCTTCGATCAAATATGGCCTTCTTCGCATATTTGTGTTTATAATTATTACATATACTTGTTACGACAAATACAGTATGCATAATAATTGCATGATTGCGCCGCCGGGAGTATTTTTTTCGAGCGATCGCTGCCGCAATGCGGGGAAGTCCCGCCGCATTCCCGGAGACGGGCGTCGAGGCGCCAAACAGCTCCGCGGAACGGAACGCGCGGTTTCGCGCTACGCATTTAACCTCCCCGGAAGTCGGCGCGTTCCCGGAAGGAACGTAAGGCTGCCTTCCTCGTGGAGAAAGAAACCACGGAACGGAATATTGACAGAAAAGAGATAGGACGAGGATGACCTAGAGATCCTCAAGTAAGAGATGCGCGAACTTCGAGCATTTGCAAAAACATGGCGACCTCCATTACGTGTCATATGTGTGTGGAGGTCATGTTCTTGCAAATGCTCGAAGTTCGCGCGCATCTCTTGAGGATCTCTAGGATGACTCTTATCCTATCTCTTTTCTGTCAATGTTCCGTTGTTTCTTTCAGAGTCGCAAATGCGACGCTTGTGCACGCAGCGGCGGGCCACGTGCAGCCCACCGCATTGCGCAACGCGCGGGCGGAACACGTGCCCGCGTGTTACACAAAACAACACGCTCTATCTACGTCCACTGTTTTTCTCTCTCTCCTCTCTCGTCGTTCCCGGAAAATTAGGTGATACCGGTCGGGCGGGAAGGAGGTGAGGAGATAAGATTTCCTCGGAAATGCCGATTGATAACAGGGCAGGGAGAGATACTGCAGGGGAGACGCACGCTCGGGAGGAATTAACAGAGGAATTACCACGCAGTTGGCCACGACGTTTCCTCCGGTGCGAACAACAACAACGACGACGACAACGGACGAACATTAATAGCGCGCGTGACTCGAGTGAACCCGAGTGACTGATCTGATCCGATTTTTCCCGGGTCTTTCAATCTTGCTCGATCCAACTCCGGAGCTTCCTGGTTTTTCAAAAACTATCGCAGAGATTAAGGTAGAGCGAGAAAAACATGTAAATAACGTCGATTGTTTAATCTACGGAAATACTGTGAGAGAAGAATGTTTGATATTTGTGACTATAATTGCAATGAAGTGCAATTATGATTAAGACCTTTGTTTTTATTTTTATATATAGTTGTCACTGTAGTGTGACGTCATAGTAATAATATCTTTACACATTTTACCAATTGAAAAAATTTTACTATAAATTATAATAATTTTCAATATTAATATATAGTAAAATATTAAGATTTGAATGTGTTGTAAATAAAATTAAAAAATGTTTATGAAGTGAATTGCAATTATATGATGAATATAATTATTTTCTTAACCACGCATAAGTGTTTATACAATTTCCAACTGTGGAGCATTTTCTTAATATTTGCTTACTAATATTTACTTATTCGATTATAATGACAAAAAATATTCAATATGGGTTTTAAATCCACACCTTGGTAATATTGATATAAAGAGAGGTTTTAAATCCATATCATGTTGATGTTATCAACACGATAAGAATTATACAGACACCGCATGGTGTTAAATCGTAAATCCACACATTGAAAAAAATTTCTGGGTGAAAATGGACGAATCAGAATTTTCTGGTTAAATTTATTAGAATTCTAGTTGAGATAACAAGAATTCTGGTTGATACAATATTTCTGGTAAAATCTACTAGAATTCTCATTTTTACCAGAATAATTATATCAATCAGAATTCTGATTATTTCAACTAGAATTCTGATAAATTGAACCAGAAAATTCTGATTCGCGTCCATTTTCCACCAGAATTACTATTTAATCCAACCAGACCATTTTTCTCAGTGCACTCGTACTTTTTAAAGTGCGGGCAACGTCGACGGTGATTTTTCGGAACGGAGATTATGCAGCAGATCTGCAGCAAACGGTACGCGACGTGGTACGTGTCGCGTCGCAACTGAGTTGCGCAACGTGACGGCGTAACGTTTCGACGGAAAATTCGCGCGCGCGTAACGTACGTGGCGATGATTCGGCGAGAAAAACGATTGCGAGAAAAACGAGATTTAGGTGATTCAACCTCATTCGTCGTCCTCGATGACGCTTTTCGTTCTCATGGAACAACCTCCGCGGAAAACGCGCGGAATCATCGCCGTCGTATCATCGCGCGTCACGTACATATATCTCCCGTATTCACGCGAATGAAAAATAGAAAAAGGCGAGGGTACGCTTATAATGTGAACGACGCACGCGAAGCTTATTACGGAATCTAGAATTGGTCGATTAATTGAGCAGCGATGCGCTAGTCGAAATAATAATATACGAAAGCGGTAGCGATCGATGCTGATTGCGTAACGGCTTCCATTTAGTTCCACTCGTTAGAATCTCATAAGCATTTATTTCCGTGGAAAGGCACCTGCATTAGTCGATAAAAATAACAGAATAACGCTTGTGCACGTTGACGTCACGTCAATCCGTGTCTAAAGACTGTACCTCGATATGAATATCAGAATGCGTCTTTACGTCTGTCTTCGTTGATCTAAGCGTGACGTAATTCTTCCATAATCGTAGAATCATGGATCATGGATAAGAAAAAAAGAGGAGAGAGATAGAAAGAGTGGGAGGAATGACGTTAGAAGCATTTATTAACGTTCATTCTTTATTGCCGTTTTAATTTCGATAAGTGATGTCAGTGCTTCTTCTCGGGAATTATTTCGTCTGCAAATAAGATAAACATCGTATTTTATACGAACCTGCATCTGTTCAGAGTCATTAGAGGATTCTTTAAAAGTCTAGCTAAAAGCAACTTCCTTAAAATTTTGCGAGAGAGAAAACCGTATACAGAGTGTATCTAAAATAACGTATACTAATCATACAGTGCTATTCCTAATAAAAAATTGAGTCGAAAAGTCCTTCAGCATTTTGCAATTTTTGCAATAATTAACAAGACATTAATTACAAAAAATCGCTGAATATTGGTTTTCAATAATTTTTTACTCAAATACTATCAACTTTACAGAAAAACTGCTAGAGATAAAAATTGTTTATTTTCTTCTCATAAAGTTATAAGAATTTTTTCAGAACTTTTTCAGAATTTTTTAATACCGTATTTTCTCATGTTGATAAAAATAAGAAAATGCAATACTCTAAAAAGTTGATAAAAAATTCTGGAAAAATTCTTAGAGTTTTATGAGAAGAAAATAAATGATTTTTGTCTGTTGCAATGTTTCTGTAAAGTTGATAGTATTTGAGTAAAAAATTATTAAAAACCAATATTCAGCGATTTTTAGTAATTAATATCTTGTTAACTATTGCGAAAATTGCAAAATGATAGAGGACTTTATGTCTCAGTTTTTTATTAGGAATAGCACTGTGTGATTAGTGTACGTTATTTCAGATACACTCTGTATACTGTTTCCTGGTTTATATGTATACTATCTACGTGCACCTTTAACTTAGACTCTCTCACTGTGTAACCTTAATTAAGATTAGAGTGAGACAGTAAATAATAAATTAGTGAGATAGTATATATAAACAGGGAATAAGTATATATCGCTTATTCGCTATAAAACGATACGACTAAAATTGTCAGTTTTTTAGTTGCAAAAAAATAACGGAAACATAAAGAAACAAAAAAAAGGAACATATTTTAAAAGAACATACTTTTATTTCTCTATAATCAGTTATTACACCAAAATTGCACTTTAAAATTAATATCAGAAAATTTTAACGATTCAAAACCGATTTTTAAACTTCAAGTTCAAATTTATTTTCTGGAAAACTTTGGTTTTTAAGTAAGTTTTCTCTCGCAGGATTTTAACTAAATCGTTCGGAAAAGACAGAAAGAACATCTGAAAATTTAGCTATAGATACAGATCTGAAAAGAATTTCATTGGACCATCAAAATAATTATGTAGGAAACGCAAACTGTGTGTGTTGGAATGAGATTCCACAAAAAGAGGAATGCGATTTCATTTCTTTGGAGTGAATCTCATTCCAAAAGAGTAAAAATTTCCCACTCTTTCTCCAGGATAAAAATATTTTCACTCTTTTTCAAAGACTGACTTAATTTTCAATCTTTTGGAGTGAGATTTCACTTCAAGAGATTTAAAGAACAGATATAATATATATGACAAAAACCGACTTTATAACGATAACGGAACTTTCGTTGTAATAATAATAATAATAGTTGTAATAATAGTAATAATAATAACTTTCAAATAATAACATCCAAATAAGTTGGTATCAACAGTCACTGTACAATTTTAATATATATATTATGTGAATATTATTAGACTTTTTGTATAAATTGCACACCAATTCCCGCGCTGTGTTAACGCTCTCATTGTCCATATATCATATCATTGTTTTTTTAATTTTGAGAACCCGATTAGTATTTAAATTTCGAATAATAACTTTATTGGTGCGACTATCTGCAAGTAGTAGATAAATAAGATACGTGATAGAAAATAAGAGCGACAGCAGCTGAAAGGCTAATTAGAAGAATATAGGCCTATACAATAGATGTCCTTGTTTATCCTGTAAGTTAAACAAAGGCATCTATCGTATAGGTCGCGGACTAAGCGCACGGTGTAAACGTAGCCATTGCAAGAAGGTTTGCGAGAGGAGTTAACGCGCGAATGCAGCGGCGAGCGTTCGGACGCGAGAAGGACGGAAAGGTGTCTTGGGGAAACGTGATCCGTTCCTCGATCGAAAATTCTCCGATTATTCCACACTTCTGTCGTAAGCGGAAGAACGGAACGTGATTCTTCGGCGGTAACACGTGGCGTACGTCACGCGGCACGGCGCGATGCTGCGCGGTGTTGTTTCCGCGTGCGTCACGAAACGCGACCTATCGCGGTCATGGTTGTTTGCGCGATCTACGTCGGAATTATATTATATTAGCCAACGACGTTGACAGCGTACGTCGCAGCCTGCGCCGGCGATCAACAATGTTGTTTACGCGTTTGATTGGGGACGTCGATGCAAATAAGTCCCGAGATCCACGAGTTACTTTGCGGGTACGACGTGCATTTCGACCGAAATTACTCGCGCGAATCGTAAACTTCGGAAATAGATCGCGAGATCATAGAGCAATTTACGAGTCACCGAAATAATTTCGAGCTAATTTCAAAGCGCAGAAGAGCGCCGTGTCGCGGGAGGTCGTCCGCCGTGGGCGGAAATCCGCGAGCTTTTGGAGCACGTCCATCGGGATTTCACAAAGTTGCGATATCAGTGAGAGGAGCGTAAACGCACTGCTCTCGAATCTTGGATTCTTTGTTTGTAAAGAGTACATGAGATAGAAGCATTCTTTCCTCGGAGACTTGACATTATTTCTCTATCACGTTACCGCTCGATTTCCTTTTAAATGACGCGCTCTCGATGGCTGGAATTGTATTACACGGAAAGAACGATTTTGCTAAAATGTAAAATGTTATATTTGATATTTTGCTAAAACATAAAAGTTTAGGTAGATATAGAGCGGGAAATAATTTTGTTGGAGCATCAAAATAATTATATAGGAAGCACAAGTATGATGAGCGATGTCGTAAAAAATTTTGACGTTTTGTAACAACGTATTGATAAAAGTTTTGTAAAAATAGTTATAAGAGTTCAATAGAATTAATTTTAGATCCGTATCTATGTAGTTAAATTTTTAGATACTTTAGCAAAATTGCTCTTTCCGTATGAATTTGTTCTTTGTGGCTGAATTAGTGTGTATTCGTTATACTTAAAATAAAATAGATACACGTAAATAATGGTTTTGCTGAAGTATTTAAAAATTTAGTTAGATATGAGCTAAAAATAATTTTGTTAGATCATTAAAATAATTTTGTGGACTATATTTAAGTATAAGTAATATTGCAAAAAATTTCAACATTCCAATAACCAACTGGAGCGATCTACGTAATTATTTTAATAGTCCAACAAAATTATTTTTATATCAGTATTTAGCTAAATTTTCCTTTAGTAAAACTGTTTTTTGTTAATTTTATTCGATGAACAGGCAAGTTAAAGG